CTCGGGTTAAGAATTTAATTCGTTCTGGAGGTCCATTCTTAACCTGAAACTGTTCTTAACCTGAAGCACCACTTTAGCTAATGGGGCCTCCCGCTGCTGCCACTGCACAATTTCTGTTCTCATCCTGAAGCAAAGTTCTTAACCTGAAGCACTATTTCAGGGTTAGTAGAGTCTGTAACCTGAAGCGTATGTAACCTGGAAGCGTATGTAACCCGAGGTACCACTGATTGAGCAAAATAAACATGCATCTTAAATAGAGATTGTAAATAGAGATTTTCCTTGTAAGGGAAAATATGACATATAGAATGGCCACCCAGTGAAGTTTCTTGCTACAATTCTTACAGATATGTTTATGAGTGGTCCAAAAGAAGATAGCCTATGAGAAGAGAGAAGACGAAAAAATATTTCCAATATGGTCAAGAAACAGATGAAAACTTAATATTTTAAATAAAGAAGGAAGGAAGGAAGGAAGGAAGGAAGAATTTTGAAAGCCCTGTTGCTTCCAAATACAGCGGTACCTCGGGTTAAGAACTTAATTCATTCTGGAGGTCATTCTTAACCTGAAACTGTTCTTACCCTGAGGTACCACTTTAGCTAATGGGGCCTCCCGCTGCTGCCACCCCGCCACCACACGATTTCTGTTCTCATCCTGAAGCAAAGTTCTTAACCCGAGATACTATTTCTGGGTTAGCAGAGTCTGTAACCTGAAGTGTCTGTAACCTGAAGCGTCTGTAACCCGAGGCACCACTGTAATGTGTTCGGAAGGCAGGTGGAAAGAAGTTAAACTTCGGTCACCTCCAAATGACCTGTTTATTGATCCTGATCCGTTTGCACAAATTTCTCAGGGAGGTTAGACGATGCTTATTATTGAACACTCGTTTGGATTTGGCTGCAATGAGGTTATATGATGATACATCAAGCAAGTATCATTTCCTTTTCATATCACTTTCATTATTTAAATGGGCTACAGTGTTAGACCAGGGCTGGATCTATATGGATATAAAAAAACACTACAGGAAAAAAAGCTATAAAAGCTCTCAAAGCAAAATTGTGTCGCTGGCAGCTCCTCCTACTGCTGCAGAGGGGAAGGATGAGGGAAGCATCCCCCAGACAGTGGATGCAGTAGTAGGAGGAGGAGGCTGAGTGCCAGAGAGAAAGAGCCACCAGCCATTGAAGCTGGGCTGCTGCGACATTCAACTCCACCCATGGCTCCTCCCTGTGTCACAAGGATGCCATGTGTGTGTCATGCCCTCCCGCACGGCAATCTTCTGCTCAAGTTGCTGTCTCTGACTGTGGGCCAGCTGCCATATCTCAGACTAATTGTTGTTTAGTCGTTTAGCCGTGTCTGACTCTTCGTGACCCCATGAACCAGAGCACGCCAGGCACTTCTGTCTTTCACTGCCTCCCGCAGTTTAGTCAAACTCATGTTGGTAGCTTCGAGAACACTATCCAACCATCTCATCCTCTGCCATCCCTTTCTCATTGTGCCCTCAATCTTTCCCAACATCAGGGTCTTTTCCAAGGATGTCTTCTCTTCTCATGAGGTGGCCAAAGTATTGGAGCCTCAGCTTCAGGATCTGTCCTTCCAGTGAGCACTCAGGGCTGATTTCCTTAAGAATGGATAGGTTTGATCTTCTTGTAGTCCATGGGACTCTCAAGAGTCTCCTCCAGCACCATAATTCAAAAGCATCAATTCTTCGGTGATCAGCCTTCTTTATGGTCCAGCTCTCACTTCCATACATCACTACTGGGAAACCATAGCTTTAACTATACGGACCTTTGTTGGCACTGCCTTGCCGTGGCGAAGGGGCTTGAATAACTCAGAGATGCTATGAACTATGCCGAGCAGGGCACCCAAGATGGACAGGTCATAGTGGAGAGTTTTGACCAAACATGATCCACCTCGCGGAGGAACCGGCAAGCCACTCCAGTATCCCTGCCAAGAAAACTCCATGGACAAAGACAACAGACATATCTCAGACTAATGTGAGAATAAAACAGACATATCTCAGACCTATATGTGAGAATAAAACAAGTTCCTTGGAGAGTCGATGGGATACACACCATAGAATCATAGAATCATAGAGTTGGAAGAGACCACAAGGGCCATCAAGTCCAACCCCCTGCCAAGCAGGAAACACCATCAGAGCACTCCTGACATATGGTTGTCAAGCCTCTGCTTAAAGACCTCCAAAGAAGGAGACTCCACCACACTCCTTGGCAGCAAATTCCACTGTCAAACAGCTCTTACTGTCAGGAAGTTCTTCCTAATGTTTAGGTGGAATCTTCTTTCTTGTAGTTTGGATCCATTGCTCCGTGTCTGCTTCTCTGGAGCAGCAGAAAACAACCTTTCTCCTGTTGATTTAAAGCAGAGTCTGTTGTGCCCAGCGGAAGGATGAGGAAAATGTGCTCCATACTCTATATTGCTTTATTTACAGTTCAAAGCTGGTATATTACAGAAAGACATCTTGCCTCTGCAAGAGCAGAAAAATGCATCCTCTCTCCTCTCTCAGCTCGGAGAGAATCACAGAGTGAAAAACAGGAAACCAGTGTACGTCACATCCAGTCTCCCTTTCCCGTGAGAAACTCCAACAGTACAGACTGTGGAATGTAAACACCTGTCTCGTGACAGCAGTTGCTGCACAGTGAAGGAAAGCAGAAACCAACATCCTCCCCCCTTTCTGTGAACATCACTGGGCAGCGTGTTCGTACAATATCAGTACAAACCCAACTTCTGCACATAGGTACAGTGTTGATCCCTTGATACAATCTTGGACAATACATCAGCAGGAATTTCATTACCTGGCATATAGGACACCGTTACGAGTCCCTTCTGAATACATTCCCTAGCATGCTGCAACTTTAATTGCAAGTGCTTTGTGCTTTGCTTACAACCTTCAGACTTCAGCAAAGCCAAACATGCTTTGTTGTCCTGGTAAACCTGGATTGGACATTTGACAGGAATTTTCATATCTTTGCACAATTGTACTAACCATTCACAATCCTTAAGTGAATAAGACAGTGCATTCAGTTCGGCTTCACAAGTACTTAAGCTAACTGTTGTTTGCTTTTTGCATGACCAATCAAACAGACTCTGATTGTATATGTAGCAAACTCCAGATGTACTTTTCCTGTCTGTAGCGTCACTTCCAAAACTTGCATCTGCAAATATCTCAAGACCACCAGACTTCTGATTGTTAAATCTCAGTCTGTAATGCATAGTGCCTTTCAAATACCGCGCTATGCGTTTCAGAGCTTTCCAATCCTTGACACTAGGATTGTTGACTTGTCTGCTTAGCAAATTACAGCTAACAGCAATGTCTGGTCTTGAACATCTGGCAATGAAGTTTAGCTTGCCTAGCACACTCCTGTACAGTGTAGTGTCAGAAAATGCTTCTTCAGTGTCATCTACCTGATAACCTGTTGTTATCGGTGTGTCTACAGGGTTAGCATCCATCAGATTTAGTTTGCTTAACACATCAGCAATTTTCCGTGACTGGTGTACTAGAATGTTACCATCTTGATCTCTCTCTATTTCCAGAGATAGGTAGTTGTTTACCTCACCAAGATCTTTCATGTCAAAGTGCTCTTTCAGTTGAGCTAGGGCGCTATTGTACATTGCAACATCTTTCCAAAAGAATAATAAATCATCAACATAAAACAAACAGTACAGTTTCTTTTGCCCCTCCTCTTTGACAAATACACATGGATCAGCTTTCCCTTGCTGAAAACCTAGAGAAAACAATACTTCAGTGAGTTTTGTGTGCCAACACCGTGCACTTTGTTTGAGACCATAAAGGGATTTCTTCAGAGCACAAACGAATCCCTGTTTAACCTGTACGCCATCAGGTGGAAGCATATAAAGTGATTCATCTAGAGATCCGTACAGAAAAGCTGTATTAATATCATGGTGACTAATGTGTAGATTTTCCTCTGCAGCTAGCTTGAGCATAAGCCTAATGCTTTCATATCTCACTGTGGGTGAATAGGTCTCGTGATAGTCTTCACCTGGTACCTGTGCAAAACCTCTGGCTACCAATCTGGCTTTGTGTCTGACTATCTTGCCATTTTGATCTGTCTTCGCTTTGAAGACCCATTTGCTTCCAAGCAGTTTCATTCCTGGAACTACTGGAACTAGCTCCCATGTTTTGTTCCTTTCTAAGGAATCAAGCTCAGCCTTCATGGCATTTAACCATGGCTCAGCTTCCTTTGAATCCAAACCCTGGATTTCTTGGAAACTTGAAGGTTCAAATACCTTCTTGGAGCTTTTAACAGCTGTTACTGCTATCTTAGCAAACTCATCAGCAAATCTCTTTGGAGGTTTGCCTTTTGTGGCTCTCTGTGACCTACGAATTAGCCTTAAGTCTTCAACACTCTCCTCTTCCTTCTTAGGAGAAAAACGACCTATTGTGAACAATGGTTCCTCCAATTCTTGATCAGAGCTTTCAGAGGGTCGCATAGAGGCTTTCGCACTCTTGAAATCCTCTGAATCACCCGATTCAGTTTCAGATTCAGACTCAGAACCTTCATCAGTGGGTGTGGGTTGTTGTGGTTGCTTTGACTATCCTCAGTCTCATCATCGTCATCAGGATAACATTGGAAAATTCCCACATTCTCCCCCACTTTGCATTGTACTCAACACTTCTCGTGAGCTTAATTGTCTTAGAGTCAGTCATCATTATTCTGTAAGACCCTTTCTGATAACCTAGAAAGATACCATGCAATCCACGCTTGTCTAACTTGGAGTTTTGTGGTGAGCGAACCCACATGTCTGAACCAAAAATCTTCATGTGTTTGATGTATGGCTTCTTGCCAAACATCTTCTCATAGAAGTACAACCAATCGCTGAAGATAACCTGCGATTGTAACTGTAAACAAAACACGAGAGAGATTCGGCCCAATAACTCTCTGGAAGATTGGCATCATGCAGCAAGGTTTTTAAGCCTTGAAGCAATGTTTGATTTGCCCGTTCCGCAAGTCCATTCTGCCATGGCGAGCGAGGACTAGACAAATCGTGTTGAATTCCTTTCTCAGTCAGAAAAGCTTCAAACTGCTGAGAAGTGAATTCCCCCCCGCGATCACTGAAAAGAGTCTTTATCTTCTTACCATGCACATTTTCCAACCAAGCACAGAATTCCTTGAACCTAGGAAAAGCCTCCGATTTCTGCTTGAGATTGTACACAAAAATATATCTAGAAAATGCATCAATGAGAACCATGAAGTATCTATTTCCACCCAAAGAGGGCGTTAGTGGACCAACCAAATCAGCATGAACAACCTGGTATGGTTCTGTAGCTTTCCTACTAGACACCTTACCTTTCGCAGCCATTTTCACCTTGTTTGCTGCGCATGCTTTGCACTTCATGTGGTACCTGCAGGGTTTAATAGTCATACCTTCAACCAAGGCAGGCATCTTAGATACTGCCTCAAAATGCAAATGACCAAATTTGCGATGAAAATCGTGAATATGTTCTGCATGCAAACTTTTGTTAGAACCTGCAATGCAACAAGTGTCATCCTGCACCACATCATCATAATACAAAACAAACAAATGATCAACATATTCTGCATGCAATACATAATCATTTTTCTTTGTGATGATGCACTTCTTGTTCTTGAAGGAAACGTCAATGTTCCGCTCATTCAGCTGTCCAACGCTGAGCAGATTATGTTTAGCGTCTGGCACGTAAAGCACATTCTGTATCGATAAGTCCAAACTGTGAAGAACAACAGTTCCGTAGCCTTTACTGGGAATAGTGTGGTCATCTGCCTGGTGAATCGCACCTTCCTGCGGTGTAAAAGACACAAACAGTTTCTTATCGTTGCACATGTGGTGGGTGGCCGCTGAATCAACAACGAAGAAAGATCTAGACGTCTTCTGGACCTCTGCAACCTTTGGAGTGAAGCGTGAAACCATAGCCTTGTGCTGCGTTGTCCTAGACACTGGACCTTTGCCTTTGCCTCGGCCTTTTCCGCGCGATGAGCTTTCGCTGCGCTGCTCTGTCTTGGCCCTGGGATGTCTGCATTCCCTCTTCATATGGCCTAGACGTCCACACGAGTAGCATTTCACTGCCTGCAAAGCTTTGGCGCCATCTGGTGGTTCCACTGCACTATGGGATGACGTCTGTGAAGACTCCCCTTGCCCATGCAGCTAGCACCCGGCGATCTGCTTCATTTAAAATCACGGCAGTAACAAAGTCCACTGTCAGCTGAGCAGTTGGTTGCACAGCAATCTGGGTTGCAACAGACTCCCAACCTGAACCCAAAGATTGTAGTATCATGAAAGAATACACAGCCTCTGGAAAGTTGAGTCCTCTCTGTTGCAGCTCATGTCTCAGATTTCGCATCTCCATTAGATGTAAATGCACATCTCCACCTTCAGCAAGAGCCATATTATGCAGCTTGTTAAAATAAAACATAGTGGATCCAGCTTCTGTCCTTAAGTGAGCCTCTCTCAGAGCGTCCCAAATTTCTCTGGCTGAGGTCTTATCACGCAATAGACAGAGCTCTTCTGGGGATACTATCAATGTAAGAGTTCCCCTTGCTTTGGAATCCTTAGCTTCCCATACATCTGTAACTGGAACTGGGGGGGTTCCTGTAATCACATCAAACAAACCCTCTTTCCGCAGAATTGCCTCTGCATACTGAACCCAGTCGCTGTAATTTGTCTTGTTGAGCTTAGGAATCCCACAAGCATCCTGAAGGGCCATCATGACTCTGGCATTAGCCTTCAGCGTCATAAATATGCTGCTTTAATTCTTGCTGCGTCACTGCTGCAGCTGCCTCATTACAAAGGCACACTTAAAAGTTACTTCGATTTCCCCAGCATAGTGACTTGTGCCTGGGAGCCTTTTGCCTATTTCGCAAAACCGGCTTGAAAAGTTCAAAGTCCAGCCATAAAGCCATTAACTTGAAGCTGGCAGGCTGCCCGGAGCAGTAGCACATACCTCATCAATCACTTCTACGCGCAGAGCAGATTCCTTTCCGATCCGTCCCTCTGCATTCCGATCCTTTGCCGGCACTCCGATTCGACCTCTGTAGCCCATAACCACGTGTTGATTTAAAGCAGAGTCTGTTGTGCCCAGCGGAAGGATGAGGAAAATGTGCTCCATACTCTATATTGCTTTATTTACAGTTCAAAGCTGGTATATTACAGAAAGACATCTTGCCTCTGCAAGAGCAGAAAAATGCATCCTCTCTCCTCTCTCAGCTCGGAGAGAATCACAGAGTGAAAAACAGGAAACCAGTGTACGTCACATCCAGTTTCCCTTTCCCGTGAGAAACTCCAACAGTACAGACTGTGGAATGTAAACACCTGTCTCGTGACAGCAGTTGCTGCACAGTGAAGGAAAGCAGAAACCAACATCTCCCTCCTCTATGTGACATCCTTTTATATATTTGAACATGGCTATCATATCACCCCTTAACCTCCTCTTCTCCAGGCTAAACATGCCCAGCTCCCTTAGCCGTTCCTCATAAGGCATCGTTTCCAGGCCTTTGACCATTTTGGTTGCCCTCCTCTGGACACATTCCAGTTTGTCAGTGTCCTTCTTGAACTGTGGTGCAACATAGATGTTATGAAATCCTTCAGACTTTGCTTTCAGAGCTACAAATGCGAGCCCATTAGTGTAAATGAGAAAGTCGGCGTGCGCATTGTTTCGAGCAATTTGTTCAATCTTTGGTGTAAACAAATTTGCAGTGCTAATTGTTTTAAGTAAGCGAATTGCATGTGCTCCTCGTCAAATTCTGCTTTTGTCTTTTCGCAAGAGAGAATTGGGTAAATAAAGTGTACTTTGTTTGATTAAACAAATCTATGGGATTTGATTTAAATGTGGTGAATGATTAAGTATGCTAACTCTATGGGATTTGATTTAAATGTGGTGAATGTTTAAGTATGCTAAATGGATGACAAAACTATGAATCTTCCATCAAACCCAGGAAGATCAGTATGGGCACAAACGAAAACCACAAGCAAACCGGAGTTGTCTGAACTGCCTTTTTTGCTAAGCTGAACAGCTTTGTGTATGGTTTTGCAATACCTCTTTGTCAGTTACCCCATTTGTGACGAATATTCTTTCACTCCTCCCTTCCTTGGAGAACCCTTTCACATGGGTCAGTTTTCTTGTGAGGAATAAGCTTTGGACTGGATTCCTTTAACAGGTGTATAGCTTAAGTATCAGAGAAAGAGATAGATAATTTAGACAGACATTTTGTTTTTAAACCAGCACCTGTTTCCAAGAAGCATTCTCATGGAGTCTCAATGTATTTTTATTAGCAGATACATGTAAAAACAGACTTGCTGGCTCAAATCAAATGCTCTCCTCTATCTCAGTACTTCCGAAAATAAATTCCCTCGTGGACCACTTGAAAATTGCTGAGGGTTTTGGTAGGAAACTTAATATTTTCTCTGCCCATTTTAGCTATTGTAATATGCTAGGCTAGATATTGTATTACTTTGAATTGTATTTTTGTGGTTTTTTTATTATATCAGAAATTTATTGTACTGCAATGTAAGAAATAAAAGAAACAAAAAACATTCAATTTAAAACCAATATGAATATTTAAAGCAGACAAGTCGAGGACCACCTGAATGAAACTCATGGACCACTGGTGGTCCACAGAGCACAATTTTGGAACTCCTGCTCTACTTTCTTCTCCAGCTAGTAGCCACCAGCCATCAAAAGCTATTAATGCTTCTTTCCTCAGGTATCTTCTCACCATCAGTGCCCACAGAAGAAACTAAAAGAGAAAACCTGAAACGAAACAGGCCTGACTTGGAGATCATTGCAACAATATTTAACGCTTCCCAGGTAGGCTTCCATTTTGTCGTTCAGATTTAATTTTCACTATACTGCCGCAAAGGAGTTTAATTAAAACCACTAATTAATCATTCAGTTGTCCTGATGCACAACTGGCAGTTAGCTTGATTTGCCATGGCACCTATTTGATTGATGGGCAACATGGCGAGAAGTAACTCAGATACATAAAATGACTTTGCGTGTGGCAAAACTTTTTTTGGCGGGCGTGGAGGTCAAATGTGCATTGTTTTATGATGTTCTAAGTCACTGTGTTAGCAAGCCTTGAAAATCGTGTTTGCATTTTTTATTATTTTTTAAAAGCCCTAGTCAGAAATAATTTTCTTCCAAATGGAATCTTGGTTAAAATTGACTTAAGTCCCATTTGAAATTAAGCTCTTCAGGATTCTTCAGTAGCTCAGTCCTGGAAAGGTAGTCTATGGATGTGTGTGTGTTTATGCAAGTGTTGTTCTTGGATTCCATTGAATATGATCACGTATGAGGGCGAGAGGCACAACTCCACTGGTTCATAAATTTTAAACTTGAAGAGACAGTTCAAACTACCTTGCCCGCCCTCCTGTAGACAGGTCATTTAATTTCCTCTAGTTATTTCTCTTATCGAGCCCACCGACGTATCCGTGGCTAACATGTGTCTTATTTGGAATAATTTATTTTCACAATGGAAGGTTCCTGTTGTTTGCAAAATGCATTATTCATCTTGCGTTTCGGCAGTGACAAAGCCGTGCCATGATAGCCGTTTGTGAGATAAAAGTAAATACATGTGCTTGGAATTTTTTAAGGGAAGTCTTTTCCACCTCCCTTCCTTTTCGGAATTATCGTGAAGTTTAACAGGACTGCTGTTTCAAAGGCATGGCACAGAAGTTCAAGTGGGTCTCATTTGCAACAGGGGTGGGGCAGTGGGCAGAATATACCCACACCTGTACCTTCTTTGAGGGATTAAGGGGGCCGTATGCTAATGAACAATAGGCCATATTTATACCACATAGCAGAATGAAGTGAGGGATAGAGGAATGGAGACAAGGTTCAGTGCATTAATGAGGGCATGTAAGAGTTTAATTGCTGACACAAACGTGTAAGTACAGAGTAGGACAGCTAAGAAGGTTATGAAGAACAGGAAATTATCTTCTACAACTATTTAGAGGAACCAAGGGAATTAGGTTAATGTAGTGTAGAGCCACTTTAAAAATGAAGGAGATGAGACCTTGGTGTAGGATGTAAAATGCAGGGAAAAGTGGAGAACATTCTCTAAGGTGCTCTTAATCTATGAGTAAAAGTTTGCAGGTTAAGGGTTATTGCAGCCCAAGGTAATTATGACCAATTTTCAATAGAATATTCATCATTGCATATTCAGTAATCCCTGCTGTCCCCAACACTGATGATCTCAGACTTGGCATCCGAGCGCAACAAGCATATCGTCATTTGACTGATTACAATGAGAGTTGGAAATACCTGAGAGCAGAAACAGGAGCGGGCGAAATTTTGAACCAGTCCTCATTTAAAGGTGAGGCTACCTAATATACGCATTCTGACAAAAAAAATGTGCCATGAAACACAGTCGCCTATTGAAATTTGCACTTATCTGAATTTTGCCATGCCAAGTAATGTGTAAGAAAATGCACATACTAGGGTAAGGTGTGCATCAGAATGCATATACAGTGGTACCTTGGTTCTCATACTTAATCTGTTCCAGAAGTCCTTTCCAAAACCAAAGCGTTCCAAGGCCAAGGTGCGCTTTCCCATAGAAAGTAATGCAAAACGGATTAATCCGTTCCAGACTTTTAAAAACAATCCCTAAAACAGCAATTTTACATGAATTTTACTATCTAACAAGACCACTGATCCAAAAATGAAAGCAATGATCAATGTACTATAGTATAAATAAGACAGTATTGTAGATGATAAAAATTAAAATTATTTTTTCTTCTTCCCTCCACTGATGATAGTCATTGTTTGGATGGGGGGCTCTTATCCATCTCCACAGTCACACAATCAATCAATCAATCAATCAATCAGTAGCTGAACTGGGTTCCACACAGTCACAAAATTAATTGAAAAAGCCTCAAAAACACAGAATAAATTTAATAAACTGGGGGTGGGGGGGGGGAGCGCCAAACTTCATCCGTTCCGGAAGTGTGCTTGACTTCCGAAATGT